TGTAGGCTTTAGTTATTTGTCGGACTACATAAGATTTCGTTAGATCTACTGCTTAAACTTGTACCGCTGGGGGAGATATCAGTAACGGTGCCGAGAAACTGGAGACAAGAATACTGAAGGTATAATCACATAAATATGGTACTCAGAATTAATTCTATCGTACAGTGTACATTTGGGGCATGTTAATTCAGTGCTTTCTTGTTGATGCCAATGTTAGGAAGTCATATTTATAGGGAAGGACGGGTAGTCATATTTGAGATCTTTATAATTCCCGTTCACATTGCCATGGCTTTTCAGGTGACCAGTACTAACATCCCTTATCCAATCTGTCAATTTTTGGTCCCTTTATATTCTCTTTATCCAATTGTTCACCTAGAAGCTCTATCTGTTACTGCCCGTGCTTATGATCTTGGTTTGTGCTTCATAGAATCTTAAATTTAATTGGCTGAAGAGGAAAAGATCAGAGAGTGCAGGCAAGAATTGTAAATTTTATGATAAAAGAAAAACATATAAGAAAAATAAGGCAATTTGGGGATCTAATATGAAATATCAGACATTAAAACTGCCAATTTCTTTGGTGTGTTTTCCCTTCTATACGTTCATTACATATCCAGAACATCATCATCACTACTGATTTTAGTGTTTGTGTTTTGTCCACTTTTTTGGATGCCTTTTGTATTGATGACTATTACTTCCTAACAGCAATTGTCATTTCCAGAATCCTTTTATATGCTAAATTGCAGTGGTAGATTAGGAACTCACACTAATTCTAGATGAAATAGGGTTTAACTGGTCATAGGATTCTGTGTAGCCTTTAGTGTTTTCTGGAATTTATCCTATGCTTCATATTGCGAGGAAGTCTTTTTGTTGCATACCTTCATTGCAGGATGGCGTATATTGTATGAACATGAAGCCTGTGTGTGAATTGAAGGTTGCCAATAAATTGTACTGGCAATTCACAATAACTCTTTTTCTTGGAATGGCAAATTGACCTGGAAACAGTCAGGTGACCCTTCCAGTTATAAATGCCTGAACTGGTTTACTAATATCATCTGGCCGTAGTGTGAGAAGAGACTGAGGGGATCAATTTGAACTCAACTGGAACTGATTAGGGCAAGTTGCTGCATGGGGAGATCAGGTCTCTAGAGTTTGGAGAGGCCGTCAGAGTTGTGTTGATTGTCCTTTTCTCCTTATTCATTTTCTCTCTCTTTTCTTTACTCCTTTCTTTTGTTTCTACACCTATTTTGGTACAATGGTATTTGATGAAATGCCATGAGCTATGGTAGTTGCCAGCCGGCACAAGCATGTGCCATAGGAAAAGCATGAAGTGTGTTACCTGGAACCTGTTGCTATGAAGGAGACAGCTCTAGGGAAGTTCTTCGTCCTAAGAAACAATATATTCCAATATGTGTTTTTGTTGGTATGGAGGCATACATTCTGGATTTGATGGAAAATCTATAATCATAGTTAACTTAAAGGTAGAACACGAAAATTATTATTCTCCTCAAATGTCTGACACTTTTAGCTAAAATAAGGGCATACACATAATTCAGGACCTCACATATATTTTACTTGACCTGTTTGTCAGTTAATTAAAATGAGGAGGGACAACTTAAGCGGTTTAACTGGACTGTTGTGTATTTGTTCTTCTCACATTTTTAACTGTCATTGAGTATCAATTTAGCAGTGTCAGAGTAAGGTATTGAACTGGTAGAGTCTCTATAGTGTTTTCATTAGTATAGAGTACACATGATGCGTCTAACAGTTTCAACTTTTCTGCAGATTCCATGGAGTTCCTGCAGAGGAACGACTTCATTGGCGGTCTTTCCTAGTAAAATTAGGAGCAGACAATCTTAAAGGAACTAAAAATGAAGAACTTCTTGTTGCTTCTCACAAGTACGTAAATGCTTCATGAATCATGAGATGTGTGATGAATAAAAATGGTTTCATATAATTCTTCTGTTTTTCTTTGAATTGATTGAATATTTCTTAAAATTAGGTGTGAATGAAAATTTTAGATGCTTTACTCTTTAATTAGTTTCTGTTTTATAGGATAATCTGATTCGTATGTTACATCTAAAACTGTGGCTTTCAGATGAAGAACTTCATGTACATTCTTCCGTTGACTTGATTTCTATTGTCGATCAGAGATCTCATATATCATTCGTCACTTATGTAAATATTATGGAGCTGATGTTATTTAAAGATCTCATATCCTAGTTCTTCACTTAGTATAATAAATACCATGGAGCTGATGTAACTGTATTAAGCTGTCTACAGGTTCTCTTTGGTCCTGAGCTAAATTCAAAGGAGTTAAAAGGTCACTTAGTTAAGAAGCTTAGAGAATGAGACTTAGGCCACCAAGCAATATAGTTAGATTCAAAATTTAAATGTATGCAGCCTTATCCTCATTTAGAGGAGAAGCTGTTGCCATAATATGAAGCAATGATGCCCAGTTTATATTGCACAAGACCCACCCTGTTTTTAATTATGTGGATTTTAAGGTATGTCCTAAAAGAATTCCTCCAGTTTTTGTTGATAGGATATATATAGTGCTTTCTAAGAAGCTTTGTCAGAGTTCTGTTGGAGTACAGAGCTGATGTTCAGAAAGACATGCATAATTATAAAACCATCCTGATTTTGCAGTTCTTATTTCTATATATCACCTATTATCACTTGACATACTTAAAAGGCTGCTGTTGAATTTGGTTGCTTGTTTTAGTTTGTTTTATATTGATGTATAGCACAAAATAATAAATTTTATATGTCTCTCCTGAAATTTTGTTAGTTCTTAGCACTCTTGATATCGAAGTATTTGGTGTTCTTCACAGTTGGGAAATTTCCATAATGTTGGTACCTCACTTTCCTTCATTGGATCTTTTATTAAAAATAACCAACCTGTATGTTCACTTATATTTTGTATGACAGGGTTATCAATCTTTTCATCTCGAAGTTAAAATCTTAGCTATCTTGTGAAAAATTCAGTTCTTTCGTCTTACGCTTCAGAAAATACTGTAGCCTAATGTGTTTTTGAGTTGTTTGCCAAGGTTTTGATCAGGAAGGTAATATAATCTTTGTTCAATACAATCTGGTAACCATTTTTTAGTATTCTTTCCATCATAGGCTCAGAGTGTACGGTTGATTGCACTTAAGTATATTTCTGTGTCCTACATACTGTTGTGTATAATATCTAGTTATGTTGCCCTTTCTCCACAAATTCAGCTTTCATCTTTTCAGGTCTGTGTTTGTTGTCTATACAATACTTGGTGATGTCTGCATATATGTGGTTGGCAAGGATGAATATGATGAACTTGCTTGTGAGTATGCAAATAATTCAATGTGCTTTTGAATTATGGTAAACCTATCAGTAGCTGTTATAAATATTCTCTTGTGTTTGATTTCATCCAGTGGCAGAACTAATTTTTGTTATCACATCATCGGTCAAGGATGTGTGTGGAAAACCTCCAACAGAACGGCTGTTCCTCGACCACTATGGGAAGATATGCCTGTGTTTGGACGAGATCATCTGGAAGGTAGGGTAGCGTTCAGATTATCTTGTTTCTCATTGTCCCTCCACAAAAGAAAAAAAAAAAAGAGAAATTAAGAAAAGAAAGGCTAAAAAGAGGTTTAGAGACCATTTAAAAAAGAAGATTAGGGTATAAAGCCAATGTCATGATGTCCTTCCCAGTCCTTTTCTTTAGTTATTAAGCAGTGGTATTGTGGTTTTATGTTAAAAAATTTCTGTAGGTAAAACTAGCAAGAAGACATGCACGGTTTACATGTATTAGTGAGTTCAATTTATCAGGAAGTGAAAGTTGCTTTGCAGTGGAATTCAAGAAATACCTGTTTTCTAACTTTTCGATTTGCCTATGATTAATCTTTAGGGGATGCTGGAGAACACTGACAAGGATAGGATCCGAAGGTTGATAAGGTTAAAAGCTCCTACTGATGCTTGATTGGAGTTATCTTGTCCTAGATGTGTGACTTGGATAATTATTCGTTCTTTGCCATTAATTGCTGTTGTATGTTGTGAATCATTTGTAATCTGGTGAGAAAAGCAAGCATGAAACTTCCAGTTGTAGGATATATACACTTTTGAATGATTTTTCTGAAATGTTTTATGGACTGCTGCGTGGTCTCGTTGATGTTGCTGAGATAATGGTCACTCGCACTTTGTCCAGCGGCTCTCGTCAGTTGATTGGCCATTTTTTTATTCGCTAGATGCTAACTGCAGTTTCCATCATTTTTTATTATTGTTGTTGTTGTTGTTCGCTAGATGCTAACTGCAGTTGAAAGGACTGCAGTTTACATCCATTCATATCTTCCTGTAATTGCATCGAACAATGAAATTGTATCGAGTTTGAGGTAATCATGTGATTTCAGTTCAGCTTTCATATGCAGATTATTTGAGTTGGTACACTATATCTGGAAACCAGCCCATATAAACTACGACAGAAAGGATAAGATAGAGCTTCAAAAGCTAAATCTACTGTAGCTACATATTATACAGAAAAGCATGATAGAAAACGATGAAGAAATTGCTAAGAAATAGTAAATCAAAGAGAAGAAAGGTCTAATATTTAAGAAAATAACACGTTGTAAAAGATCCTGAGGAAAAGGCAACGGTGTAAAACAGCACAAAATCGTAATTACAAAAATGAACAGCACCAAAAAATAATGTAATAATTGTTTTTCTCACCGGTTGCAAAGATCCACGTGGGTCTCGCTTTGCTTCCAGATCCGTGCCACGTCGAGTGGATCATCAGGATCATGACATCCTTCCCTCGCGTTCTAGAGAGTTAAACGGGAACAGATTCCGACGGCCCAATCCATCCTGAAGCTTCAGGAGAGCGAGGCCATTCCAAAACCCTCGCCTCGCTCTTTCTCTCTCTCTCTCTCTCTCTCTCTCGTATGATAAAACCCCGTCGCCATGTGTTGTTGGTCGTCGATCGAGTTTGCTCTCTGCGAAAGCAAAAGCCTTATCCACCCTCAAATCTACATACCCTGCTCCCTCTATCCTCGAGCGGTGGCAGCTTAGCTCCATTCTATTCTTCCTCTCCCCATCCAAAGTGCAGGTTGGTGTCATTCTCGTCTTCCCCTCCTCCGTTTTAATCTTTCTGTAAAAATAATGCGTCTAGGTTTCGATCGATTTCTGTGGGTCAGAGGTGGGATTTTGGTAACGGCTCGTGGGTGTGCGTCAGCACGGTGTTAGAATTTTAAGAATCACACATATATAATTAAATATATTAAATTATTATTATGATTAATCAAAATTAAAATGATCTAATTAAAATAAAATTATTTAATTAAAAAATATAATTATTATAAAAATTAATTGTGGGGATACCATCAGACATATTTCTAACTTAATAATGAGATAAGTTAAGAATATAAAACTCTTGAGACATAATTACATATTTATCAATTATGAATATAATCATAATTATATATTCATGACTATAAATAAGATTATGATCCCTAGTTGTAGTATCTAATTAAGTTTCTCTTTACCTGTAAAAGAGAAATCTAAAGTTCTTAAGGATACTCTGCAATTGAAAGACCAAATTATCGATTAATTCAAAAAATATTCTAATGGATTCGGTACTGGTAATATGTTTCTTAAATGTTGTAGAATTTTATGCATATTATAGTGGATTTAATAAGTTTTATGGAAACATTCTAAAACCATTATTTTGGATCTATAAAGTATGTTTGAACCAAAAATTTGATTTTGATTCTATAAAACAATTGTTTGATCCATATTTGATATGTTAAAGAACCAACAATTGGTATCAGAGCCATCGTATAATGATTGTTGAACATCTAGGCTTATTTTTCATATGTTTTAATAATGTTTTCATCAATATTTTGGAGTGATTTGGTTCTATCATCGTTGGGAAAAATGATGGTTTTATATAATCATGCTATATAATACTTCACATTTAGTTCAGTGCCTTTTTCTGATGTTAAAGATCCATATTTTGAGATGTCTTTTTCTCTTCGTGTCTTTTCCTTTTCATCAGTATACAAATTCATTTTTGCACTAAGGCATAAATTTCCTAAATTTTCTTTGAATTTTATATAAATTTAATTAATAATAATATTATTGTAATATTATGATGGTTTAATTATGTTGTTGCAATATGCAAATTTAATTAACAATAATATTTTTATAATATTATATTGGTTTAAACATAATATTGATTCTATAAAGTTGTTTGTTGACATAAATTGAATGATTTACAAGCATTAAATATTTTAGTCAACAAATTAAGATAAAACCAATTTGACTAATATGGTTAAAATTTAATTAGTGATTGTTTAATATTAGATTGAGTAATTTAATGCATGAAGTTATCAAATTGATCTCTCATATATAATATTTATCATGAAAATATTAAATGTAGTGTGTATTTACATCTATACGGTAATTACTCGACCCAAATGAAGGTTAATAACTGGCAGGATTTTATACATACCTGTAATGGTAAACACGTGACAATTATAAAGTTATACATGTAAATGATAAATCAATCAAAAGATAGGTTTATCATTTGAAATGTCTTATTATCAGTGTTTGATCATTACAACAAGACTACCATTAGCAATTAATATTAAAGTCCAAAGATAAGATATTAACGTTGTACTTGGTACCTAGAGATGGGTTATATCATTATTTGAATTTACTTAAGTTTATGGTAATATATATGAGCATAATTTCTGGTTATCTATTGTTCTCTTGTTTAAGTTCTCTTGCAACAATATTTGCTAACCTCAGTTCTGTATCGATTCTAAACGAAACTAAATTTAAGGGCAAGAAAAGAAAATACAAATCTAAAAAGAATAAGGTTGATAAGGGTCCAGTACAGAAGAAACAAAATAAGGATCATACTTGTTTTTTCTGTAAGAAATCTGGGCATTTAAAGGACTGTGCCAAATATCATGCTTGGCGTGCTAAAAAGGATACATTCCTTACTTTGGTTTGTTCTGAAGTCAATTTAACTTCAGTACCTAGAAACACTAGGTGGTTAGACTCCGGTGTAACTACTAACATCAGTGTTTCAAAGCAGGGTTGCTTGAGCTACCGAAAACCCAATGATGTTGAGAGATATATTTATGTGGGAGACGAAAAATCGGTAGATGTGGAAGCTATAGGCACATTTAGATTGTTATTGTGTACCAGATGTTATTTGGATTTGAAAGACACTTTTATTGTATCATCATTTAGACGGAACTTAATTTTTGTTTCTTATTTGGACAAATCTGGTTATTCTTGTTTATTTGGAAACAATAAGTTTACTTTGTCTTTAAATTCAAATGTAATTGGAACTAGTTCACTTATAGCTTATGATAATATATATTTACTTGATACTATAGCATCCTATCATGAATCCCTGAATGCGGAATTGTAATTTACTAAACATAAAATTAAAAATTCTGGTGTATTATGGCATAAACGTTTGGTTCACATCTCTAGAAATAAAGTTGAAAAACTTAAGTCAGAAGGGATTCTTGATCCCATTGGCTTATCAGGTTTAGATGTTTATGTTGAATGCATTAAAGGTAAACAAACCAAACCTAAGAGATCAGGTGCATATAGAGCTACGAACGTCTTAGAATTGATACATACAGATATTTGTGGGTCATTTCCTATACCTTCATGGAATGGTCAACAATACTTCATATCACTCATAGACGATTACTCTAGATATTGATACATGTATCTAATACATGAAAAATCTTAGTCTTTGGATGTGTTCAAAGCATTTAAAGCTAAAGTTGAAAATCAACTTTGCAAAAGGATAAAAAGCGTCAGATATGTCCGTGGAGTGGAATATTATGATAGAAATGACGGCTCAGGTGAATAACATCTAAGACCATTTTCTTTATACCTAGAGGAGTGTAGAATTGTCCCTCAATATACAATGCTAGGGTTACCTAGCATGAATGGTGTAGTTAAAAGACGAAACCACATACTTAAGGACACGGTAAGAAGTATGATTTCTCAATCTACTTTGCCATAGTCACTCTAAGGAGAAGCAATAAAAACTACAACTTGCATTATTAATAGAGTACCAACTAAAGCAACTATAAAAACACCTTATGAGTTTTGGACTGAGAGAAAACCTAGTCTAAAACACTTTCGTATATGGGGTTGTCCAACTGAGGCAAGGCCTTACCGGCCTAATGAAAAGAAATTGGAACTCCAAACAGTGAGTAGTTACTTTATTGGTTATTCTAAGCGAACTAAGGGGTATAAATTTTACGATCCCAAATCAAGAAATATTTTTTAGATGGGTATTGCTACATTCTTCGAGGATATTAAGTTTGGGGGGAGAAATAAGGTTAAAGACTTTACCTTTGAGGAAGAATTGATTCAGTATGATCCAATTCATATAGTTGCCACTGATGTGACAAATTCAGTACCTCAAATGGATATAGTCATTTCAACTCTCATACAGTACGAGGAAATTGTTCATGAAGAACAAACTTAACATCCTCAAGAATCCATGCTGCAAGAGCCAACACCTTTGCGACAATCCACTAGGGAAAGGAAGAGTGTCATTTCGAATGATTATATGGTATTTCTCCAGGAACTTGAAGAAAGTAATGGTATAATGGAAGATGATCCAATCAACTTCCGTCAAGCCATAGAGGATTCCAATTCAGATAAGTGGATTCAAGTACTGAATCAAGAGTATAAGTTCATGCAAGACAATAAAGTTTGGAAACTTGTTCCGTTACCAGAAGTTGTGAAACCCATTAGTTGTAAATAGATTTTGAAAACCAAAAGGGATTATAATGGTAATGTGGAGAGGTATAAGACACATCTTGTGGCAAAGGGCTATACTCAAAAGGAAAGAATTGACTTTAAAGAGACCTCTCCGGTTTCAATGAAGGACTCTTTTAACGAAGGACTTTAAAGGGATTGACATGTAGGATTGCAAATCAGGAGACACTCCTATCACAAAGGGAGACAAGTTCAATCTTAATCAGTGCCCTAAAGGAAATCTAGAAAATCAAGAAATGCATAAGATTCCCTATGCATCAGCTGTAGGGAGTCTAATGTATGCACAGGTTTGTACGTGTCCGGATATAACGTATATTATTGGAATGTTAGGCAGATATTTAAGCAATCCTGGAATGGATCATTGGAAGGCAGCTAAAAGAGTTATAAGATATTTAAAGAGGACAAAAGATTATATGCTCACATATAGGAGATCAGATAATTTGGAGATCATTGGGTATTCTGATTCCGATTTTGTTGGATGCCAAGACAGTAGGAAATCCACCTCAGGCTACATTTATATGTTGGCTAGTGGGGCGATTTCTTGGCATAGTGCCAAGCAATCTCTTATTACTTCTTCCATCATAGTAGCGGAATTTGTAGCATGTTTTGAGGCATCAAATCATGGAATTTGGCTAAAAAATTCTGTCACAGGGCTGCAAATAATATAAGAGATTGAAAGACTACTAAAGATATACTGTGATAACAAATCAGCTGTTTTATACTCCAACAACAATAGGAGCTCGACTAAGTCAAAGTACATTGACATCAAGTTCCTAGTTGTGAAAGAAAGGGTACAAAGTAAATAAATTTCTATAGAACATTTAGGAATAAACTTTATGTTGACAGATCCTCTCACAAAAGGTGTACCACCCAAAGTCTTTCATGAGTATACTGCTCATATGGGTATATCAGAATTTGAGGAAACTTCAGTTTAGTGGGAGTCTGTCATATGTTTGTTATATGTTATATGCTAGATTTTGTATTTGTACAGATATTTTCTGATCAGAAATAAAGCTTCAGTTTATTATACTTTGTATACTACGGCTATTAAAGTTATTAATGATCTCATAAAGATAAAGTTGGACCAGTTAAAAATTGACATGTACATATCACATTCATGTAATTTTTATGCTACACATTTCATAATTGATCTATGTCATTTGGTTATGTTAATATTAGTGATCATTGATGGGTTTAGGTATAATTGATATAGCAAATATCGCTTTGGTCCTATATTAATATGGTCAATGGACGAGATTGTTCTGTTTAATAATGACAATAATTTTGAGCCCATAAAGTATAGCACATTTATAAGGATACATATGTGACTAAGTGGGAGATTGTTAGAATTTTAAGGGTCACACATGTATAATTGAATATGTTAAGCTATTATTTTGATTAGTCAAAATTTAAAGTGATCTAATTAAAGTAAAGTTATTTGGCTAAGGGACATAATTATTATGAAAATTAATTGTGTGGATACCATCAGTTATATTTCTAACTTAATGACGAGATAAGTTAGGAATATGAAACTCTTGAAGCATAATTACATATTCATCAATTATGAATATAATCATAATTGTAGATTCATCAGTTATGATTATAAATAAGGTTATAGTCCCCGATTGCAGTATCTAATGAAGTTTCTCTTCACTCGTAAAGGAGAAATCTAAAGTTTCTAAGGATACTATGCAATTGGAAGACCAAATGCGTGTTAATATGTTTCTTACTTGTTGTATGATTTTATGTATATTATAATGGATATTAAAGTTTTATAGAAATATTCTAAAACTATTGTTTTGGATCTATAAAATATGTTTTGAACCAAAAATTCGGTTTTGATTCTATAAAATAATTATTTGATCCATGTTTCTATGTTTGTGTTTTTTATGCGCAAAGATTCTTCTTTTTCCTGGTAATTCGATTTTGTTTTGTAATTTATCTGAGATCTGTTCCGAATTGTGTCCACGAACAATCGAAGAATATGGAAATAGTAAAGAGTTTCACCTAGAATGGGTGGGGGGCTGCGACCATGGTTGAACAGTTGAGTGTATTTTTATGCTTTATTTTCAATAAGTTCCAAAATACGGAATTTTAGAGTTTATGGTCTCAAAAAGCTTATTATTATTTTTTTGCTAATTTAGCTTGTTGTTGAATTGTCATGTCACTTTCGATCTGCGTGCTGTTAAACCCCTACTATTCTTTGAATGTCTTGTTTCTCGCTCGGTGAAAGTCACTCGCTGTAGCTACTCCGAGCAATCTCCTGCAGACACTGGAACTGTTTTATTCGTCGGAAAGGTCCACATACTAGAATCTGGATGTACAATCCTAGTTTTCTTGAAATGAGAATGAAAAATCCCATATGCAGAGTACTTGTTGTCAGTTTGATGTTTGACTGAAGCTATTATCGGTTGTTAAGGGCATTGTTCGATGGCTTTGAAATGACTATACTGTTCATGTAAACTTGAGAACTTACTTTAATGGAGGAAAAGCCCAAAGAGGACTTATGATGCGACCAAGCTGCAATCTGCTGATCTTAATTCTCACCTTGTTGTTTGTATTTTATTTTACAATATTTTAAGATTCCGGATTTATTTGTAAATGCCTATAAATTCACAGATTGGAGGAGTCTGCAGAATTCTTTGATGAGAGTTGTTAGCTATTCTGGGGGGTGACAATGCGACTTACAAATTGTTCTGTTTTGTTTCTAGGTGATAATATGTTTCACTCATTTTGTTGACAGGAAATGGCTTCTACTTTCAGCACCATGTCCACGATTGGCTCTTTGAGTGCTACTAATTGTCTTAGTGCCAATAAAGCCTCTGTTGAGAAGTTCTCTTCTCTTTCTTCCGTATCTTCCAATTCACTGAGCAGCGGAAGGCAGAACTTGAAAATGCAAAAAAGGTGCAATTCTAGGATCAGAGCTATGGCCAAAGAGTTACACTTCAATAAGGATGTCTCTACCATTAAGAAGCTACAGGTAAGCATTTAAAAGAAACTCCCACAAGTTTGTGAAGTTGTATGAAGAAGATTTTGATTTTAGCATCAGTGCCTTATTGACTCTTATTCCAAATGTTGTTGTTACAGACTGGTGTCAATAAGCTTGCAGACCTCGTTGGGGTCACTCTCGGTCCGAAGGGTAGAAATGTTGTTTTGGAGAGCAAATATGGATCACCAAATATGCCAAAGAGGTACCTAATTATCAGAGTATTTATCCAAAGTTTATCTTGATTTATTTCTACTTAAGGATTGACATGGAAGTTCTATGCGATTTGACTCAAGAAAACTGATGTAGTATTTAAAAACAAAAGGATTGACAAGAACACTTACAAGATGCCAAATGCACATACTCTCTATATTTCTTACTTCATGAACTACAGTCCTATTTATAGGACCTAGTGACAATCACCCTATAACTACTAGATTGAGGTAGTTATTGAAAGCACCCTATAACTACTAGATCATGATTGAGGTGGTTATTGAAATCATCATGTTCTTTGTTACCAAAACATATCACTTTATGTTACAAACGGAACGGATAAACATGTTTTTACCTTTAGTAGTATTTGAAGTTTCTGATTGGCTAATAGATGCGTTGACCTGATCTGTTAATGTGGGTTGGTTCTTTGTTAGTTATTGTCCCATGTTGTCTGGTTGCATGAACCCTACTTACTAAATCTGGTGCATTTAGGTCGAATTAGAAGATCCTGTTGAGAACATCGGAGCTAAGTTAGTAAGGCAAGCTGCTGCAAAGACAAATGATCTCGCTGGGGATGGAACTACTACTTCCGTCGTTCTTGCTCAAGGTTTGATTGCTGAGGGTGTTAAGGTTTGTGGAACATTACAGGCCATGCTACTCATTCTTCTGGTGTTTGTTCACAAATGAAACTTTTATCACCTGATAAGCGATAAACTTCTGATGTGTGCAGGTTGTTGCAGCAGGTTCCAATCCAATTCAGATTACGAGAGGGATTGAGAAAACAACCAAAGCCCTAGTGGCTGAACTGAAGCTAATGTCAAAAGAGGTATATTTAAGGTTCCCTTAGACATTTTTTTCAGATATGGTATTGTTTAAATATATTTTTTTCTTGATGACATGAGTTTTCTTTTCTTGTTTTAATTTTAGTAGTCATAAAAATGAGTGTAGTTATGTGACTTGCATGTCATCTTAATTCACAGATCGAAGACAGTGAGTTAGCTGATGTAGCTGCTGTAAGTGCTGGGAACAAGTATGAAATTGGAAACATGATTGCAGAGGCTATGATTGTTGCGAAAGTTGTGTTAACAAAAGAGACAACAACCATTGTTGGTGATGGTAGGTAGCACTCGGGAAGAAGTAAACAAATGGGTTGCACAAATACGTAATCTGATTGAGATTTGGTTTCTTGTCTTTCATGGTATGATCCAATGTATGTTACATACAAAGCTATGGACTGGTCTGAATGTTTGTCTTGGTTTTCAGGCTGCTGAGCAGGAGTATGAGAAGGAGAAGCTAAATGAGAGAATTGCAAAGCTTTCAGGTAATGTTCATTCTGAGCACTGATATATATTTTTAATGCTTTCAAGTGTCACTAACCACATGGGCATCATATTCTGGTTCTTGAACATGGATAGATTGTTGGGCTGGCAGCCCACAAATTCAGTCCATAGTGGGCTAGGGCAGTCTATAGCTCACTCCCTCTTAATCTAATCCTAATTAACATTAGGGGAGTATGGTGGCCACATTTTGGAGGCAGAAAAAGGCATAAATATGACAGTAATGTGGGAGAAGGGAATAACTACGGGATTCCAAAGAAAAGGAGGAAAACAAGACAAAAAAGGAAGAAAAAGAAAGGGAAGAAAATAAGAACAATGCAAAGAGACTGTTCTTAATCATTTAGCAGTGTTCTCATCTTAGGTTAGATCAAATCTATAGTAGACTCTTGCTGTGATTACTTAGGGAGGTTTTAGATATCGTGGACAATGATATGATCCTTGTATCCCAGTTATTCTCTTGTGATTGTTGCTAGGGTTTAGGGCAAGAGATTGAGATTTGTATATTCATTATTCTCATAGTGGATTATCTCTAGTTTGTCCCGTGGTTTTTACCCTTCACATTGAAGGGGTTTTCCACGTATATCTTGGTGTTCTATTTGATTGTGATTTCATTTAATTCCGCTACATATCATGGCCTACTAGTATTTGTTCATATACAAAAGTTATTCCGCTTTATATCCCCATCAACTAGTATCAGAGCAAGGGTTTTTGTGATTTAAATTTTGTATTTGAACATGGAGGCCAGTAATGTTTCTCGCATGATTAGTTTAAATTGAAACAATTGGATGATATGGAAACCAAGAATGGAAGATCTCTTGTATTGCAAAGATTTGTATGGACCTTTGTAGGGGGATAGTGCAAAACCCACAATTATGACAATGAGTGGAAGAGGTTAGATCGAAAAACAATTGGATTTATTCGATAGTGGCTTGATGATAGTGTCTTTTACCATGTTTCTACTGAAATTTCTGCATATTCTCTTTGGAAAAAGTTAGAAAGTCTCTATGAAAGAAAAACAGCTAGCAACAAAGCTTTTTTTATCAGAAAACTTGTGAACCTAAAATATAGAGAGGGTGCTTTTATTGCTGAACATTTAAATGAAATGCAAAGTATTACTAACCAGTTATCCTCTATGAAAATGTCTCTTGATGATGAGTTGTAGGCATTGTTACTTCTCAGTTCATTACTAGAAAGTTGGGAGACACCGGTAGTTTCCCTCAGTAATTCTGCGCCAGATGGTGTTGTCACTATGAGTCAAGTAACAAGCAGTTTGTTAAATGAGGAGTTGAGAAGAAAGAGTGAGTTCGGCAACATCTCAGAATGATTCACAGGCACTTATCTCAGAGAATAGAGGAAGGTCAAAGTCTAGAAGCAGTTCACGCATGGGTAGAAGCAAGTCAAGATCAAGAAAAGATATTGTTTGTTATAATTATGGTGAGAAAGGACATTACAAGAACCAATGTAAGCAACCTAAGAAGAACAAGAAAAAGGGAAAAGAAGTGGAGTCTATAGAGTCAAAAGATAATATCATGGCTATAATGTAGGGTAATGATTATTTGATTTTGTCTTCTTCTGATGATATTTTTTCTTGTGTGTGTCAGGATCTTGAGTGGGTGATTGACAAAGGTGTTTTTTATCATGCTACACCACGGAGGGAGTTTTTTGCTACAGGTCTGGAAATTTTGGTATTATCAAGATGGGCAACTATGGCACAGTAGACATCATAGGCATGGGTGATATCCATTTAAAGACCAACATTAGCTGCAAGTTGGTGCTTAAGAATGTGAGGCATGTAGTTGACTTGAGACTAAATTTAATTTCAGTTGGAAGGCTAGATGATGAAGACTATGATAGCAGGTTTCACAGAGGACAATGGAAACTCAGTAAGGGTTCTCTTGTTATAGCTAATGGAAAGAAATGTTATACTTTGTACATGTTGCAGACTAAAGCTTATAGTGAGCAGTTAAATGCTACAGAAAAAGACTTCAACATGGAGTTGTGGCATAGGCGACTGGGACACATGTGCGAGAAGGGGCTACAATCTCTTTCCAAGAGAGAGATATTACCAGACCTCAGAGGTATACATCTGAACCCTTGTATTGATTGTTTGACAGGTAAGCAACATAGAGTTTTATTTGCTAGTCCTATTTTGTCTAGAAAAATGCATGTCTTATACCGTGTTTATACAGATGTATGTGGTCTTTTGAGGACAAAAACTCATGGTGGATCTGTTGATGTTCTTGGTATAAGTGGTGCACTTTATTTTGTTACTTTTATAGATAATTTTTTCAGGAAAGTTTGGGCCTATGCTTTGAAAACTAAAGATCAGGTGATTAATATCTTCAAAGAGTTTCATGACATGGTTGAAAGGGAGACAAAAAGGAAATTGAAATGCATAAGATCAGATAATGGTGGTGAGTATACATGATTGTTTAATGACTATTGCAGGTCACATGGGATCCAACATGAGATGACAGTTCCTGGTACACCTCAGCATAATGCAATTGCAGAGAGGATGAATCGCACCATCATAAAAAAGATCAGATGTATTCTTTCACAGGCCAAGCTACCCAAAAGGTTTTGGGATAAGGCTTTGAGGACTGCAGTTGATGTGATCAACTTATCACCATGTACAGCCCTAGATGGTGATGTTGCAGAGCATGTATGGTCAGGGAAAGATGTTTCCTACAAGCATTTGAGAGTGTTTGGTTGTCGTGCATTTGCACATATTCCAGATAATGAGAGGTCCAAGCTAGATGGTAAGTCTAAACAATGTATTTTTCTTGGCTACTCACATGATCATTTTGGTTACAGGCTTTGGGATCCAGAAAAGCGGAAGATGTTTAGAAGCAGAGATGTAGTCTTCTTTGAGGATCAAACCTTTGAGGATTTGAAGAAGAAGAAGGCACCAGCCAATACTTCTACAGAAGGATTAGCAGATTGTGACCCAATTACTCCTCCAGTATATCAGGGTGATGGGGGAGATGTGCAGGAAGATGGTGTAGAGCCTGATGTTGATCTACTTGCAGGACATGTTGAGTAAGAAGAAGTAGGAGAGCAAGTTCCAACAGAACCTGAGTTGAGAAGATCTTCTAGACAACGTCAACCTTCCAGAAGATACTCTATATATGAGTATGTGATGCTTACTGATGCAGGTGAACCAGAGAGTTACCAAAAAACAGTTGAAAGTGAGCAGAAAGAGAAGTGGTTAGTTGCTATGCAGGAAGAGATAGATGCTCTTCAAAAAAATCACACTTATAATTTGGTGCTACTACCAAATAGAATGAAGGCCTTGAAGAACAAGTGGGTATTCATGTTGAAGACTCAAGAATATTGTTCTCAACCAAAGTACAAAACTAGATTGGTTGTGAAAGGCTTTGGTCAAAAGAAAGGTATTGACTTTGAAGAGATTTTTTCTCCTGTTACTAAAATGTCTTCTATTCGTATTGCTTTAGGTATTGCTGCTAGCCAGGACTTGGAGGTTGAGCAGTTAGATGTGAAGACAGCTTTCCTTCATGGAGATTTGGAGGAGAAAATTTATATGGAGCAACTAGAAGGCTTCAAAGTTAAAGGTAAAGAGAACTTTATCTGCAAATTGAAGAAGAGCTTGTATGGGCTAAAGCAAGCTCCAAGAGAGTGGTACAGAAAGTTTGATTCATTTATGATAGAAAATGAATACAAAAGAACGACTTCAGATCATTGTGTGTACATCAAATGGTTTGGTGAGGATTTTATTATTCTCTTACTTTATGTTGATGACATGTTTATTCTTGGAAAAGATATGTCTAAAATTGACAGATTAAAGAAGGAACTGAGTGAGTCTTTTGCAATGAATGACATGGGGCCAGCAAAACAAATATTAGGTATGTAGATTTCCCGTGATAGAAAAAATAAGAAGATTTGGTTGTCACAGGAGAAATACATTGAGAAGGTATTGGAAAGATTCAGTATAAGCAATGCAAAATTAG